CAAACTGGCCAAAACACTCAATTTCAGTGGGGGTTGAATAATTTTGGACACAACTGTATCAGTGAGTACAGTTCCTCTTTGAGAAATGATTACCATTTAGTTTTGCAAAAATAGAAAAATAAATATTTTTTAGCTGACACCACAAATGTTTATAGAATTAAATAAAAATGAAGTCATTTAATGTAAAAGTACACCACTTGTAACAGTCTTTTCACCAATTAAAAAAAAAAAATTTTTTTTATATATATATATATATATATATATTCATCCTCTTTTCACTTTCATGGTCATCAGACCTTTGAAGTAAGACCACCCGCTCAGCTTCTAAAGAAAAAAACCTTGAAGAACGTATTTGATCTTCAAGCCTGGATATGGCCTGTATATATCACTGTACATTGCATATAATTTACTGTCAGAGGCTTTCGAAATTTAATGGATGGCCATACAGCTAGACTGTTCGGTGACTGTGCAAATTGCAGCATTCAAGGCAGCAAATCAGAATTCAGATTTTTGATGATCTGACTACAGTACTCATTTCTAAGTGGTAGAGGCAACTTAAAGCAATTTGTGCTGCTTTACAGAATAACTCAAGCAGTGTAGTGAGAATATAGCTACATATTCTAGGACAAGAATTCTCAACCTTTTTTCATTTAAGGCACCCTTTAAAATTATGGACAGTCCCAAGGCACTCTTGAAAATTATGGACAGTTCCAAGGCACCCTTGAGAATTCTAAAAATTCTAAAATGGGGTGCCTCAAGACTGTCCATAATTGTAACAGGGTACCTCCTTCTACATTGTGAAAAACTATTCTAATAGTTTTATATAACACAGCAACATCCACACATGTAGGACACCCAACATTAGAGGTGATTTATTCTTCCAAAGCAAATACACTTTTGCACACTGGTACTAACTAGTGCGCCAGTGTTTTCTCTTCTCCCTACCTGAGCTAATGTGACCCCAGCACTGATGGGGAGGAGCAAACTAGGATGCTGTGTAGGCAGCTGACATCCTACTTATCAACTGATGATGTCATTGGTTGTCAGGATGTTGCCGGCTAGAAGGTTATTATGGTGCACTATGAAACCTGTGGCTTTGTGTAACTAGAAGGCAGACTTGTTCCACCCGCTGGCTTGTATACAAGTTTTGGGCAATTCTTAAACATTTTGCAAAGGCACCCCTGAAGAAACCTCAAGGCACCCTGATTGAGAAAGGCTGATCTAGGAGAATGTGAACCACACACTACTGCAACACATTCACATAGACTTCAGCCATAAGGCAGCCATATACAGGGGTTTGTGAACATAGTATCTGACCTGTACAGTGTGAAATCTCCTGAGGAATATGTCCATAATAAATGTAACTGTCAAATTGGTAGAAAATGTTAGTGGATGATGAATAATCAATGATGTTTTAATCCAGTGGTCTCCAAACTGTGGCCTGGAGGCCATATGCGGCCCTTTGCTTGCTTTTATCCAACCCTTTGGGGCATTATTACTCCATCTGTCAGCAACAGTTCCTGCCACCGAGAACAGGCAATATTCCTCCCACTGACACCAATGTGAGGTCACTATTCCTCCCACTGGCACCAAAAATGGGACACCATTCCTCCCACTAACACCAATGATAAGAAATGATTCCTTCCACTGACTGGGCCTGATTCCTTCCACTGATGTCAATCATTTGGCTCTATTCCTCACAGAGACACCAAAGATGGGGCACCATTCCTCCCAGTGACACCAACTGTGGGGCACTATTCCTCCCAATGACACAATGGTGGGGCACTATTCCTCCCACTGACAGCAATGATGGGACACTATTCCTCCCACTGACAGCAATGATGGGACACTATTCCTCCCACTGACACCAAGGATGGGACACTATTCCTCCCACTGACATCAACGATGGGACACTATTCCTCCCATTGACACTAATGATGAGTCACCATTTCTCCCCTTAATACCAATGATGGGGTAGTATTTATCCCACTGATTCCAACAATGAGACACTATTCCTCCCACTAATACCAATGATAAGGCACTATTCCTTCCACTGACTCCAACAATAGGACACTATCCCCCCCCCATTAATACCAAAGAGGGGACACTGTTTACTCCCACTAACATTAGGACATTTTCTAATCCCGCTGGCCACAGTCCGGCCTCCCTACACTACACTGGCCTTTTGTTTAAAAGATTTGGAGACCCCTAATCAAATCCATCCAGTTACATATCTCTTTCAGTTGATGCAAGTCTCTTTTACCAATTAGATTCAAATTATTTGAAACATGAGACAGTTTAAATCAGCCATTTTCAACCAGGGTTCTGTGGCACTCTAAGGTTTCACAAGAGGCAGAGGCTCATTGAGCACCCATCTGATGATGCCATCATAGTTCCAGGTCTAATTCCACAGTAAGGATGACATTCCGACCCCCACTGTAAGGGAGACATTTTTTTTAAGGGTTCCTCCAGGGTATAAAGTTTGGGAAAGGCTGGTTTACATTAAAAAAAAATCTAGATCTACTGGAATTAGATACAAGAATCTATGCCAGGGCCTTGGAGCACACTGTCATCTAGGATTTTACCAGCAATGGCACACTACCATGAACACCGACCTAGTGTCAGCAAGAGCTTGTGGACTTCTGTTCATACTTCACTGCCACCCAAGTCTACTTTACAGGTAGTAAAGAAGTGGCTTTCTCCATTTTGGAACTGCCTTGAAGGAAAAGTATAATGTGCTTGAAAGTAGCAATTACTGCAGTGTTCGCAGTAAAGGACCAGGGCACTTTAGATTTGCCTTCCCATAAACTCATTTACCCCATACCATATTATTGTTAAAGGCCAACTCCAGCCAACACTTATTTTAGTTTTCGATGAACTTGGAAAGTCTAAGAAGACAAGAAAAGAAGGCAGCAGTTGTCACGGAGAGAGGAAATCAGACAGTAATAATAAGCTAACAAATTGTCTCACCCTTCCCCATTTTATTGGGAAAAGGGTTTTGTTTCAGTCAGTGTCTCCTCTGTAGAGGAATCCCACCATTTTTTGTTCCAAAAGGAAGACAGGGGAAATATCCCGAGACTAGAATAAAACTTGGCAGGGGATCTGTCGCACTTGTCCCACTCTGTCCAAATTAAAGAAAAAAAAAACAGCATTGGTGTCTGTCAAATCCAGTGAGGAGGGAGTAGAGGGTGGGGTCAAGTCACGCTGTATATGTCTATGGATGCACACATCTGGAGTGCCCACTGGAAGGAGAAGCAGACAGCACCGGTGGGGGGACCGAAAAATAGGAGGTAAGTCACTGCTCTGTGCAATATCCTTTCACAAAGGAGGTAAGCACAATGTCTTTTTTATTTTAATTTTTTTAAAAAAGTTTACTATCTTATAAAGTGGCACTAAGGGAGGTTCCACGCTGCCCTGGTGCAGTCCCACTGCGCTTCTGACAAAGCACAGCTAACCCACAGTTTTCCTGTGGGCTGGCTATGCGTTCCCAAAGACTTCTATGAGGTCCTGTGGTTTTGCTGTGCTTTCGGAAACCGCAGGTTAGCTGTGCTTTAGCAAAAGAACAGAGGGGCAGTGTGAAGTCGCCCTAAACAATATCCTGATTCTACAAATATAATCCTTACACTACCTAATGGCCCTTTTTTTTATTTTTCATTAAAAAGTTTCTTGCTGTATTTTTCTGTCTCCTTGTCACGTCCTCCGTGAGCTCCGAACCCCTTCTTTTCCCTCTCACTTGCTTGTTTGGAACAGCAGTGCACATCAGTTGAAGTCATGTGCACTGCTGTATAAATCCCTAGTCCATCTCAGGAGCAAGCAAGGAAGTGTGGCTAAGGCTCTACAGCTGATGAACTACATGGAAGTGAGAAAGTGAAACCCTCCAAATGTTCCTCAAGCCTACCGATTTTGCAGAAAAGGATCAAAAGGCATTGGCTTGTCCACAAACAATATAAATATATTAATGTACACACAACAAGTACATTTAGCCACAAGTTCCTTCAACTTAGGTTTCAGCAGGAACAGAAAATTAAATGACGCTATAGGAGGTTATAAAAGGAAAAAACGACTGGTCCCTGTAATGCTACTTGTACTAAAAAGAGAGTTTGGGCTATTATAAGAATTGTGCGAAAAATAATGCTCAAGAGAATGTTTTTATATGTATGTATATACAGTAATGGACAACAATACTGGCATCCCTGCATTTCTGTCAGATAATGCACTACTTCGCCCAGAACATTTGTACAATTACAAATGTTTAGACATTCTCATGTTTATTTCTTTTTTTTGTATTGGTGTGCCACAAAAAAAGTGGAGAAACAAAAAACCAAATCTGACACATTCCACGCAAAACCCAAAAAATGGACTGGACAAAATTATTAGCACCCTCAATTTAATATTTGGTAGCACACCCCTTGGAATAAAAAACTGATATCAATTGTTTCCTGTAATCATCAATAAGTTTCTTACACCTTGCTACTGCAATTTTGGAGCACTCGTTTTTTGTAAACTGCTCCAAGTCTCTCAGATTGGAAGGGTTCCTTTTCCCAACTGCTGCTTTGAGATCTCTTCAGAGGTGCTCTATGGGATTGAGATCTGGACTCATTGTCGGCCAGTTCAGTACTCTCCAGCGCTTTGTCAGAAACCATTTCTGGGTGCTTTTTGATGTGTGCTATGGGTCATTGTTCTGCTGTAAGACCCATAACCTCTGATTGAGACGTTCTGACACTGGGCCCTACATTGCACCCCAGAATTCTTTGGAGATCTTTGAACCTCCACCATGTTTGACTGTAGGGACTGTATTCTTTTCTTTAACCACTAGCCTACAGGGCACTTATACCCCCTTCCTGCCCAGGCCAATTTCCAAGTTTCAACACTGTCACACTTTGAATGACAATTGCGCGGTAATGCAACACTGTACCCATATGAAATTTGTATCATTTTTTTAGACAGATAGAGCTTTCTTTTGGTGGTATTTAATCACCTCTGGGATTTTTATTTTTTCTTAAACAAACCAAAAACCACTGCAAATTTTGAAAAAAAAAATGTTTTTTCTTAGTTTTTGTTATACAATTTTGTAAATAAGTGATTTTTCTCCTTCACACTGATGTGCGCTAATGAGGCTGCAGTGATGGGCACTGATAGGTGGTACTGATGGGCACTGATCAGGAGGCACTGGTAGGTTGCACTGATGGGCATTGACAGGCATCACTGATGGGCATTGAAAGGCAGCACTGATACATGACACTGATATATGGCACTGATAGGCGGCACTGATAGGCGGCACTGACTGGCACTGATAGGCTGCACTGACAGGCGACACTGACTGGCACTGATAGGTGGCACTGACTGGCAGCACTGATAGGTGGCACTGATTGGCATTGATAGGTGGCACTGACTGGCACTGATGGGTGACATTGAAAGGCAGCTCAGATGGGCACTGATATATGGCACTGATGTGCACTGGTATGGACTGATATGTGGCATTGCTGTGGCACTGGCACGTGGCACTGACAGGTGGCACTTCTGGGGCCACACTGATCATCAGGGCACACTGATCATCAGTGCCCTGATGATCAGTGTACATGTCCCCTGCGCGGAAAGCCGATTACTGACTCTCCTCTCAAGCTGTCAGCGTGACAGCTCGAGAGGAGAGAAATGCCGATAACCCGCATTTCCGTGTTTACATGTGATCAAGTGTGATTGGACACAGCTCATCACATGACTGAGCCGACATCTTCGGCTCTTTCTGTGATCCGCTGTGTCCGAGGAACACAGCGCACCGGCAATTGCCGCGCTGCGCGCTCCCTGAGCCGCGCATGCGCAGTGAGAATGATAGGACGTCATATGACGTCCTATCAGAACGAGAGAACCACCTTGCGCCCGTCATTGTACTATAAGGCGGGCGGAAGGTGGTTAAAGGCCGCATTGCATTTTCTGAAAACAGTAGAATGATGGACTTTACCAAATAGCTGTAATTTTGTTTCGTCAGTCCACAAGCACATTCTCCCAAAGAATTTTGACTTCCTCAGGTAAGTTTTGGCAAACTCCAGTCTGGCTTTTTATGCTTTTGTGTCAGCAGTGGGGTCCTCCTGGGTCTCCTACCATAGCGTCCCTTTTCATTCAGATGGTGACATATACTGCGAGCTGACACAGTTGTACCCTGCGGCTGAAGGTCAGCTTGAATTTGTCTGGAAGTTGATCAAGATCCTTTATCCACCATTCAAACAATCCTTTGTTCCAATCTTTGATCAATTTTTTCATCCATGTCCAGGAAGATTAGCTGCAATGCCATGGGCTGTAAACTTCTTGACAATGTTGCGCACAGTGGACACAGGAATATTAAGATCTCTGGAGATGGACATATATTTTGTTCTCAAATCCTCAGACAATTCTTTGCTGCTCTCTCTCTTCTTTATGCAGCACACAATTTTTCACCATTTTAACTGGTTGCTGGTATTTTATGCAGGATCCTCTGCTAGCAGAAAATATGCATATGCCCATGTGAATGAGGCCTAAAAAGAGTATCTATATGAGTGTGCTCCCCCTTTGTTTGCATGGGAAGTACTCAATATTCCTCTCTAAAGAGAGATAGCCTTCAAGAATAACACTTTTGTTAGAAAACCCATAATGCTCTGTGACACCAGTGTCATAGGGTGTCATGGGATCAACGTTTATTTGTAAAGATTTAACATATATAGCAAAAAATAGAGTAAATATAGAACTCAATCAGTTTTAAAAAAATGCAGAAACTTTAACCACTTCATGACCAGGGTAATTTTGCTATTCGCACTGCATTACTTTAACTGGTAATTGATCGGTCATGCAACACTGTTTGCAACTGAAATTTCTAATTGTTTTCACACAAATAGAGCTTCTTTTGGTGGTATTTGACCACCACTGGGTTTTTATTTTTTGTGATAAAAATTGTGTGGGGGGGGAAATGATACATTTTGTTATAAAACATATCCAATAAAGAAAAAAAAAATCAAATTTCTCCATAAATGTAGGCCAAAATGTATTCTGGTACATGTCATTAGTAAAAACAAAATTCCCAATAAGTGTATATTAATTGGTTTGTGTGCAAGTTGTAGCATCTACACTGCTCAAAAAAATTAAAGGAACACGTTTTAATCAGAGTATTACATCAAGTCAATGAAACTCCTGGGATATTGATCTGGTCAGTTCAGTAGCAGAGGGGGTTGATAATCAGTTTCAGCTGCTTTGGTGTTAATGAAATAAACAACAGGAGCACTAGATGGGCAACAATGAGACAACCTCCAGAACAGGAATGGATTTACAGGTGGAGGCCACTGACATTTTTTTCCCTACTCATCTTTTCTGACTGTTTTTTTCACTAGTTTTGCATTTGGCTAGGGTCAGTGTCACTACTGGTAGCATGAGGCGATACCTGGACCCTACAAAGGTTGCACAGGCATTCCAACTCCTCCAGGATGGCACATCAATACGTGCCATTGTCAGATGGTTTGCTGTGTCTTCCAGCACAGTCTCAACAGCATGGAGGAGATTCCAGGGGACAGACAGTTACTCTAGGAGAGCTGGACAGGGCCGTAGAAGGCCCTTAACCCATCAGCAGGACCAGTATTTGCTCCTTTGTGCAAGGAAGAACATGATAAGCACTGCGAGAGCCCAAAATGACCTGCAGCACTGGTCACTGATGTCAGGAAAGGATTCACCGCTGGTGGTGCTGGGGCTCACCTGCTGTGTGGGCTGCAGTATCAGTTCTCACCAGCAGGTGCTTTTCAGCAGCCAGGATCTCACCTCCTGCGGTCAAGCCATCACATGAGGCTGATTGCAGGAGGTGTATTTAAGCAGTACTAGACCTGCAATCAGTGCCTTGGTGTTTTCCCATGAGCCCTTGTTATCCTGAACCTGTATCCTGTCTTCTACCTGCTTGACTCTCTGCTTGGCTCGTTTCTGACCAGGACTGAATTCTGCCTGCACCGACCCGACTCTCCTTTTTGACTATCCGTTTGCCTGCCCCTCTGTGCCATATCTGCCCGATTGTTCCTGACCTGGCCTGCCTGACCACTCCACCTCTCCAGCCCTGACTACGCCTGTGTTCCTGAACATATATGATATTAGTTGAAGGTTTGGTTTTTGTTTACTGTGGGTTTTTGTTTATTTGTGCAGCTCTTAATAAATTATATTATTACATCATTCCTGAAGCCTACTGTTCCCTGTGTCAGTCCACACATCTCTGGTCATACCCGGATCCTTGACAACTGGTGTGAATGTCTCTGACCAAACAAACAGAAACAGACTTCATAAGGGGGGCCTTAGGGCCCAATGTCCTCTAGTGGGTCCTATGCTCACTGCCCGGCACCATACAGTTTGATTGGCATTTGCCACTGAACAGATGAGTACCAGGTTCACCCTGAGTACATGTGACAGATGTGAAAATGTCTAGGGAAGCCGTGGAGAATGTTATGCTGCCTGTGCCATCGTTCAGCATGACCATTTTGGTGGTGAGTCAGTGATGATCTGGGGAGGCATGTCCATGAAGGGACACACAGACCTCTACAGGCTAGACAATGGCACCCTGACTGCCAAGGATGAAATCCTTGGACCCATTGTCAGACCCTACGCTGGTGGAGTGGGTTCCTCCTGGTGCACAACAATGCCCAGCCTCATGTGGCGAGAGTATGCAGGCAGCTCCTGGAGGATAAAGGAATTGATACCATTGAATGGTCCCCACGCTAGCCTGAGCTAAATCCAATAGAACACCTCTGGGATATCAGGTTTCGGTCCATCCGACGCCACCAGGTTGCACCTCAGACTGTCCAGGAGCTCAGTGATGCCCTGGTCCAGATCTGGGAGGAAATACCCCAGGACACCATCCGTCATCTCATTAGGAGCATGCCCCGATGTTGTTAGGCATGCATACAAGCACGTGGGGGCCATACAAACTACTGAGTACTATTTTCAGTTGCTGCAATGAAATTTCAGCAAAATGGACTAACCTGCTCAGGGGTGTGGAAATTTTTGAAAAAGCTAGTTGTCCAGGTACTAAATTGGTGTCCCAATCTACTTGTACCTCATGACAATCTACTTGTCCTGATAAAAAAAACATACATTTTTACGAAAACCGTATCTAAATCTGGGGCTTTTAAAAACAAAAAGGGGCTTTATGGCGACTTAAACGTTTAATATTTTGAACATTGCACTGTATATCTCCTCCTCCCCTCCCTGTCTATCTCCAGCACCGCACCCGGGGACTAGCAGGGAGGAGAGAGACTTTGCAGTGTAAAGAGCATCGATTGGGTGCTCGTCAGGAAAGGGGAGTATCGGGTTTATCTTTTATCCATATCGCTGCTAGAGCAGTTTTTGCGTTTTTTGCACACGTTTAAAAAAATTATTTAAGGCCTGAAGATGACACAAAACCCCCAACATTATATATTTTCTGAAATCAGTGATCCTAGAGAATAAAATAGTCGTAGTTTAAATTTTTTATGTCACACGATATTATCACAAAGGTCTAGGAAATTCAAAATTTCTGTAAAAAAAATATACTTAAGTTAATTTTAGGGCAAAAAAAAAAGAAAAAATGATCCATTTTTTTTAAAATATAAAAATGATGTTGCAGCAAGTAAATAGATATCCAACATGTCAAACCTTAAGTTTGCGTGTACTCGTGAAATGGCGACAAACTTTAGTACCCTATATTTTCTATAGGTGACGATTTTAAAGCCCCTAATAAGTCATCAGTTTAGCGATACGGAGGAGGTCTGGTGCTAGAATTATTGCTCTCATTCTGGCGTGCGGGGTGATATGTAACATGTGTATCACAATTAACGTTTACATGTGTAGGCGCCCCAGCGCATGCTTTTACATATGTGCGTGCTTACATATGTGGGCGTGGGGGCCTTGAAAATTTTTTTTTGGGGGGGGTTTATATGCTTGGGTGTAACTTCCATTTTAAAAAAATAAATAGTTATTTTGCTTACCGTATTTGCCGGCGTATAAGACGACTTTTTGACCCTTGAAAATCTTCTCAAAAGTCGGGGGTCGTCTTATACGCCGGTACACATGTTAGGGGGGCTGCGGCATTAAGTACAGGGGTTTGCAGGGGCTGACGACGACTCTTACCTGGATCCAGTCCCACGACGATCCGGTCCAGGAAGCGCGGCGTCTCCTTCAGTTCGGCCACTGGATGTTCGTGCGGCTGCGCGGCTCCGCCTCCTCACCGGTGATTGGCCGCCAGAACTGTAGCTCAGGAAAGGCACACAGGCGGCCAATCACCGGCGAGGGGGCGGAGCCGAGTGGCCCCGCGAAAATTGAGTGCCGGAGCAGCAGGTAAGTGCTCTGTGTAGAGGTGCTGCTGCAACCACATATGCTGGCTGCAGCAGCACCGTACTAGAACAGGGTCAGCAAGTGTCAGTGGGAGGAATAGTGCCCCATCATTGGTGTCACTGATACCAATGATGGGGCACTATTCCTCCCACTGATACCAACGATGGGGCACTATTCCTCCCACTGACACCAACGATGGGGCACTATTCCTCCCCCCCACTGACACCAACGATGGGGCACTATTCCCCCCCCCACTGACACCAACGATGGGGCACTATTCCTCCCCCCACTGACACCAACGATGGGGCACTATTCCTCCCCCCACTGACACCAATGATGG